ATTCAAATTCAACAAATTATCTATAATTAAACAAATTCAACAAATTATCTATAATTAAAATTCAACACATTCAACATTCACATTCAACAAATTATCTATACTTAAAATTTCACAAATATAAACCGTAACCCTAATTTATTATTTCTGATTTCACAACATTTTATTCACGAATATAAACCCTAACCCTAACCCCACATTCATGAACCCTAACCCTAATTTATTCACAAATATAAACCTAACCCTAACCCCACATTCATGAATCCTAACCCTAATTTATTCACAAATATAAACCTAACCCTAACCCCACATTCATGAATCCTAACCCTAATTTATTCACAAATATAAACCTAACCCTAACCCCACATTCATGAATCCTAACCCTAATTTATTCACAAATATAAACCTAACCCTAACCCCACATTCATGAATCCTAACCCTAATTTATTCACAAATATAAACCCTAACCCTAACCCCACATTCATGAACCCTAACCCTAATTTATTCACATTTTCACAAACACAAATATATTCACAAATATAACTCTAATCCTAATTTATTCACAGTAAAGTAGATGATAGAAGCCATACCAATGAGAGAGAGAGACAGTACTGAATCAATCAGAGGGAGCTCGAGAGAGAGAGAGAGAGCAGGGAGCTCCAGAGAGAGAGAGAGTAGGTAGCTCGAGAGAGAGAACAGAGTGTTGAACTCGCGAAGAGCAAGAGAGAAACAGCAGAGGGAGAAGGAGAAAGCGTGAATGCAAAACACGGGGCTGGGGGGGTTAAATATAAGTTCTAAAATTGTGGTTGTGAACCACGATTTCACTTAAAGAAAAAAATTTGCCCTAAAATCGTGGTTACAAATAGCGAGTTCATCATAAACTCGTGGTTATGAACAGCGAGTTCAGAAGAAATCTATTTTTTGATGAACTCGTGGTTTCAAAAAGAGAGTTCAGCACAAAAATTTTTTGGGATGAAATCGTGCTTGTAAAAAGCAAGTTCAAAGGAAAAAAAAATTTAATTAAACTCGCGTTTCGTAACCGCGAGTTCTTAATCAAACTCGTTTTTTGTAACAGCGAGTTTCAAATTTGGCAAGTCTCGCGCGACAGGGGTGGAAAAGTGTTGAACTCGCGATTGTGAACCGCGAGTTAGCTCATTTTGGGAATTCTTCCAAAACTAGGCTTAGTTTAGGAATTCCTTTATTATTTTGGCTTATTTTGGGAAATGCCCCAAAGAGAGAGAAATGAGGTTTGATTTGAGATAGCCAAATTCCTTTGTGACATATGGGTGTGGGGTGGAGAGACCTTATACATCATAAAATAATATTGTGAATCTCTTCCATTACAAAAAATGGGAGAGAGAACTTAGACTAATTTTCCCTAATAGTTGTTTGTTCATAACTGTTTAGTGGACCCAATCATCCTTAACTGAGTTAAATAATTAGCATTTTTTTTCCTTCATAATTTCATATTTAAAATAATATTTTACATGTTTTATATTTCTCTTACTTTTTAGTGTGGAATAATCTCCGAACTTTATGAAGTGAGCTAGACAATCTAATTTTGGGTTTTCAGCCATTATGAGTTTTTGATAATTTAAATTGCTCAACTTCAAAGTATATGAATTTTTTAAAAAATAATATACATATAAGTACCTAAAAAATGAATGACTTTAATTGTCAAAACTGAATTTATAATAAACCCAAAATCACAAAATTAAACTTGAAGATTGGAGAGAAGTCAGTCTGCTTTTGGAATTCTTCTCCCCTTCCCCTTGTCTATAAAAGCCCCAAAGCCTCCTCCCTAAACCTACAAAATCCCCCTTTGCCCTTTCCCTTTAACTCACCACAATTCAATATATTTGTTAATATTTTTTATTTAAAATAAGAATATAAAAGTTAACATAGATTTGAATACTAATCTTGATTATGCAATTGACAAGCTCTAACCCACTTAATTAAATTAATTGTTGTCAGATTTGAATTCTAATCTTCAAAATACCCTGACACTTCATTTTGAAAATTTTCCAAGAAATACTACTGGTTTGGGAAACTATATAGTTTTGGCATACCTAAGATATTAGATTAAGGGAACTCAAGGAAAAAATCTAATATCTGTTCTTAGGTGATCCTTTCTTCTCTGTTCCTTAGGTATGTCATTGATATTCCTCTGTTCTGATAAGAGTCTCAATAGAGACAAAGTTAGATAGGTATACATCCTCTGTTCTCTATTTCTTAGGTATGGTTTTGTTATTCTATCTTTACTTTTTACAAGAATGCTGTTTTTTTTTTCCAAATAAAAAGTCTTGAAGAAGCTCTGGCTGGTAACTAGCATAATCTCATATTTTTGTCATTAAAAAAATTAAATTAAATACTCTCCTATTTTTGTTTTGAAGCTTTTTTTGTTTGTTTGGTCCCCAAACTACAGTAATTTCTGGAACAGAAAAAAATATTCATACAACTTTCCAAGGAATCCAAATCACTCAGCATTTTTTGATGTTAACAAGTGAAGTGTATTGAAATCTTCAATCCTGTTTCAAGACATAATAGGTAATTTCTCCGAGGTTCTATTTGTTACAATTCACATATGCAATTGATCTCACAGTTTCAAGATTGAGAGAAACTTGGACTGTATTGAATTTGAGTTATGGATACAATGAATGAACTGTTATACACCTCCCTACTCTATCTGTACAGTATTGCTCTCCCCAACAAAGCTAAAGCAACAGAAATGAAAACTAACAACAACGAAAAAAAAGTTGTAATCGAAAAGCTAACAATTTTAATTGCCTAAATGATGTGTATTCCAATGATGTAAGCGGACAAAAACTACTCTGCAGCTTCAAAAAACAGAATCTCAGGCTGTAGTTGCCCTGTTTCACACATGATAAGAACCTCGTCCCAACCACCCATAACCTGTTCAAATTTAAACATAAATCAGACAACCTAAACAAAAGGAAAAATATACAAATAGAACCTTGTAACTTAATTGAATGTACCTGCAGAATTTCATCATCATACAAAATCCACTTTTCATGCTCATGGTTATATACAAAGCAGATGTAGTGTTGTTGATAACGGCAAACCTAAAAAGGAATTTAGTAATAAGATATCTGTTCTTTTCACATGTTGATTTACTGAAAAAATAAACATAGTGATAAAAGCAAAAGCAAATTTACCATTGAAATAAGGGAATATTTGTTCCCCGGATCTAAATCCTCAAATATGACACCAATATCTATCTCAGTACTCAGAGCTCTCAATGTTGCAGATATATCATCTACAGGCTCACTATTACTCTTCCAAAGGAGAACTGCAATGGCCAAACCAAAAACTAGTAAACACAGAACAAATAGCAGATTGAAATATTTTCAAACAACTTTTCATTTTACCTGTTGCGAACACATGTGGACGAGTTGAAAGAATACAGTGGAGATTGTTGGATTTGCCACAGCCGCCTACCTTAGGATCACAAATTTCATTACCACGCAATTCTGGACGCTGCAAAAGCTCATCGAAAGTGCTCTCCGCATAGTCATACTGAGTTGGGAAAGAAGATGATTTTAAAAGACATATCTAATATGGAACTTTGTCACTATAACAGAAAAAATTGCCAGTTTATAATAAATTGCTTCAGAATAACCATGCCTTCAATTGTCTGAGTGTAATTGCACGTATGATGTAGAAAAAACAAGTAAACTTCATTTGTGCAGATTCAATGCCACAATTGTGACAGTTCATTTTTTGAAATATGTCCATTCCAAAAACTGTGTGCGCTATACAAGCAACACTAGCACAATCCCAAGAGCCTTTGTAATTGCTTCCTCTGCTGATTCAGGATTAGAAAAACCAGAACCAGATGTAAATGACTGATGAAGAACACCCAAAATGGCTCTCAAAACTTTAGAAGCATTCTTTATCTGTGCCGGTAAAATCAGCAAATTAATTACAGAAGTAAGTTGCATAGGAAACAAACATAACCTCTAAAATATGATCATAAAAACCAACAAAATTGATGTACTTACTTCCTGGAAGACGCACAAAGCAGTTCTTAAATTGATAGGAGAAACAGGTTCTTTCGGCATACTTGCAGATGCAGCACTTAGGGCATTGAAAGTCTCAAGTAATGCACAGACAACGCAGGGATCTCCGACATGCACATGCATGGATGTTGATCTACTCAAAAACTTGTCTCTAAACTTTCTTAAATGCCAGAGAGACTGCATGTTCACAGAAAGGTCAATAATGAATTCATTATCATATTGTAGTTAAAGGGGAAAGAAAATGAAAATTTATTCTAGAAGCGTAGAAATGGAAACTCTTTGAACAGAACACCAACCTGTACAATAACATTTAAAAAGCAATTGTTTTCACCAGCATCATTTCTCAGTCCTGGCCCGAAAATTTCTGATTCACTAATATTTTCCAAGGTCAAAACCAAAACTAAACTCAACATGTGCATTAGAGTCAATCGCAGAAAAGGCTGTGAGCAAAACTAAGACTTACGCTTGTTCTTCATTTTCCTCTTGCAGCACATATAGCTCATCGCTAGAAGTAGCCTGCAATATTATGAGTATTAGACTAAACTAGTATAAAACTACAAGACATACATGACCAAAGCCTGTATGGTAAAAAAAAATACAACCAGACTATAAAGTTAAAAACCTTTGAATCCTTCACTTTTCTCTGATTTTTATTCTTTTTCTTAGCCTTTGAACTTTCCTGTGGATGTTTTGTAAGATTGCCTCCTTTTTGCTTCTTGGCATCTTCTAGTGCAAGCTCTGATAAAAGCTCTTTTCTTGCAGCATCTGACTTCTGCTTAGCATCTTCGTCAACCAAAGCCTCAAATTGTGCCTAGAAGAGAAAACTTCTGACAATGTTAAACTTAGATCCAAGGAAGATGGATAACACTGCAGAGAATTATGAAACAAAAACAAATCAAACCCGCATGAATGATTTCAGAAGGGGCAACATGATGGACTGATAGTCATGATTAGATAACTCCTTTAATTTTATCCTCAGCTGCCGCAAAACCCTATAACTCTTTATGATCCCTGCCCGAATATTTTTATACTGCAGGATTGAGCATAGTGAGCACAAGAAATATCATTAAACTTTACTCGAGGTAAGTCAAGAATTCAGAAATCATGCCTGAGAAATATACAAGAGTAGGAAGTTGAGTAAGGAAAGTCGAAATATAAGTTTCATATTGGGAAAAGCAATTGAAGTTGTGATAGAGAAAAGAAGCGTAAGGCAAGATATACAAGATTTTCACAATATGGTAAGTTTATTATATCTAGAGTCAAGTCTAGAACTTTATATGCCTCTAGGTTGAGTGCCCAAACTAACATTGCTACCTCTGCAAATGCCTTCTCAAGTTGTCTCTTGAATACAATTCTTAGGCGCTCGTCTTCTTGATGCACATAATCGCTACTTCTCAAAGAAGTTATGCTAGTCGAGGCAGCTTCCTCATCTTCTTGAGCTTCTGTAAGTAAGCTCGATATAGCATTTAACTCAAATCTACTGCTGAGGGGCATGGCATCATTGTCTTCACCAAGAAGTTCTTCTTGCCGCTTCCTCAAGAGGGACCCATAATTTTGAGGGATATGCTGTTCATCCTTCTCCCTCTTCTCTACCTCCTCGTTATAGATGCTCCCAATTGCCTCTAATGCTTCCTTAGTGCTCAATTTTTCAGTTTCTTTTCTGCACCATGTTTCCAAGAGATCAAATTCTTTCTCAAATGTCTGAATAACATTCATTCCTTGATGCTTCGTTGTATCTTGTGTATTTGCCCATGATTCTAAATCTTCTCCAATTGAAGAACCGGAAAACAACCAATGTATAAAAGCATCACTATCTGTAAACACTTCAACTTCATCATGATGAGTGGTACCAGTTATTGCTGAACCATCATCTGCAACAGCATCCTTGTATTTATGTGGCATAAGTCCCCCTTGCAGTAAATGCTCATCTAGAAGGAGACACAATGAATCACCATTAAAAACAATGCTCTCCTTAACTTCATTCCCCTCAATCTCATGGATATTAAGTGGATCATCCAAGGAACTACCCACGCAAGGGCTCCTGTTTAAGCCAAAAACATTGGACAGAAGCTTCAAGAATTCAAGGAACTTCTCTAACCGAGGAGCCTCCAAAAAACAGATGCAGAGAGGTGTTTGGTCCAGGCCATGAATACGAAGCAGCGATAATGGAACAAATTTATGTAGTTCATCTATGGTCTCCTCTATCATCTTTTCAAAATTACTCTCAAGAAGACAATTGTGTCTAAGAAGAAATCGGAACTCAGCACCAATGCTTTCAAGAATTCTTGCGCGCTCAACATCATCAGATAGTGGCCACTTCTGATCATCTGGACCGGCCACAGGCTGCAAATTCTGACCAGATTCACTTGAGCCAAATTTAGAAATGTCATCTTGGCTTCTACTTTCACTGCCACTGCAAACCTGCCCCTCGTTTGGTTCTTCATGTGCGGATTGAGCCTTATCATCCTCACCATCAAGATTAGCCAATGGGCTTTCTGATTGTTTTTCCATAATTTCCAGAGCTCTACGGGTATCCACTGGCTTCCATTCACAATTGACAAGCATGTCAGCCCAATCAGCATCAACTTCTTGTTTCGCAACTTCTTGCAAACTCGATAAGATGTTTCTCTTGTGCACGGATTCAATATGCTGCATTTGCATTTCTGAGTCTTTAAACTTCTCATTACAAAGAAAACAGGACCAGAACTTCCAAGTCTTGTTGTTCTGAGCAAAACCCATGGCTTCTGAGAAAGTCTTTGATGCTAAACCATCATTATCATTGAATGAACTAAAATGTTCTCTCAAATCGTGAATTTTGAGTTCAAGCAATCTTCGCTTTTTCTCAACACTCATAGAGTTCCAACATGATCGAAACTGATCCATTCTCTTCTGTTGTGGCATAACCTTCTTCACAGCATCGTGCTTCCTTTGTTTACTGAGTTTGTTATCCTTCGCATTCACATCAAAATCCTTCATCTGATCACGTGCCATTTGGATAAAATCTGCTTTTTGCTGCGAAAGCCTCGCTGCAGCCACTCGATCTTCAATTTCCCTTCTCCGTTCCTCAGGCGTCTTGATTGGAACTTTAATTTCAAGATTCTCCATCGAAGTCGATGAAGAAGAAATCCGACATTTCTGTTCAAGAGACTGCAATTCATTCCGCAGATTTGCAATTCGGATTTCAGCAGTGGGTGCCTCCGATTGGCCCTCGTCTTGTAAACTTTCTGTGGCAGGGTCGGTTGGATTATCAATCGACAAGGCTCGCTCACACTCTCTCACTACCTCTTCATATCCTTTTCCATCAATCGACGCGTTGTAGAGTTGATTTACATAGAAAGCTGCAAATTCTATCGAGTTGGGCGATAAAGAAACCGCACGTCGAGCGGACTCGACAGCGTTTTTCATGTGCCGTTGTTTCTTGCCATGGTCGTCGATTTGAGAAGCTACTCGAGCATGTACATTAGCTTCAGCGCGGTAAACGAGGGCACAGTTTTGGTGGCGAGAACAAGCTTCTTTCATGATCTTCAAAGCTCTGGGGTGGTTTCCGCAGCGGACAGCCGTGAGAGCGCGCTCAGATTCGAGTTTTATCGAAGCGTAATCAGAGGGGGAGAGCGGCTCGATCTTGCTCTGTTCTTGAGGGAGATCGCCGGTGAGATTGACATTTGGTGGTGCTCCGCCGGCCACGTTGGCCCTATCCTCCGTGGGCGGTGGTCTCAAGCGCGGTGGTCTCCGCATTGGAAGATTTCAAGCTGAATTGAGTAAAGAAAGAGAGAGAATTCGATAATGTGATCGGTTTTCGTCGATGTTAGTTCTTGTTACGAGTGAAGACGAAGATACATACACCATATATATATATATAACCGTACTTTGAAAAGTCGGTTATCCTTGGCGACACTGGCAGAACCTTGGAGGGAAAAAATGATTTTTGAAAAAGGGAAAATAATTCTGTTTGCACGAAATTTTGAAGCTCCAATTTGTCCCGAATCCAAAACGACGTTTTGGATTATCCGATCAGTAAGAGAATTTTAATATATCTGGTAAGAGAATTTTATTACATGTTATCAGTAAGAGAACCAAAAACGACGTCGTTTTAAGTTTCGAGCCAATTTCGAGCCAAACGATTTTGAGCTCTCAAACAATTTTCAATTCTGTTTTGCTATGATTTTTTTGAAAATTGATTTTTTTTTTTTTTAGTAATTTTTTTTTTAAATACATCCAATTTAGATACACTTAAAAATTATAATATTTGTAAAAAAATTTACCAAATACAAAAAAATACAAAGAAAAATTTTAAAAATTCAGTATATTTTCATATTTTGTTTTATTTAATGAATTTTTTAAATATTTTTTAAGTAGATCTAAAAAGTAAAAAAAAATTACTAAAAATATAAAAAAGTGAAAATATCTTCAAATATGTAAAGAGTATTAAAATTAATATATTTTTTAGTGTATCATGATTAAGTAGATTTAAAAAGTAAAAAAAAAATGATTAAAATATTTTAAAAATCACTAAAAATACAAAAAATCCAAAAAAAAAAAATTTGTGAAAATATTTTCACAATTAAGTAAAGAGTATTGAAATTATAATTCTTCATTAACAAAACTCATTTTAAATTTGTGTAACATATAATAAAAAGACCATTAACTATTTAACAATCCAATTTATTTTATGACATGAAATCAATTTTGCCCCAATAAAAACGGGTTGACCCGATTTAAGTGGGTGTTTTACCTTGTTAACTGATTGTGCCCAGTTCTCTTAACTAACTTTCTCTACAAATTCGTCTGCCTCTTATCCATTTGTTCATTCTGTTTCTTTTGTCTCTGTTGCCGCCACAGTCCCACTCACCCTCGCGTGCTCCTCCTTTTTCATCTCTCCCATCGAGTTTTTGATTATGATCTCTTGACTGTCATCAAGAGTCTGTCTTGAGTTCAAATCAAATGGCCTTGTTCACGAAGAAATACAAAAATAAATTTTCATTACCTCATTAGATCTATATAAGAAATGAAAGTCAAAATTAGAGCTGAGAAAAATTTTCAAACCACTCAGCACTTTTTGATGTCAACAACCAGGCTCATGGATTTGAATGCCTTCAATACTGTTTGAAGACAACAATAAGTAATCTTTACTGGATTCTTTTTGTTACAGTTTGAAGATGCATTTGATCTCATCTCTAAAAAACAAAAACAAAGAGGTAACTGGTGGCCCCTTCCATTTTCTTTCAGCTTAGCTTTGTCGGTTTCTATTTTTAACCCAGGTTTTAACTAATAACTTGACAACAATACAATGTAGTTAGAAAAATTACTCATAAAAGTACATTTATGGACAACTTTTATTACATCACACCAGCTTTGAATTTACATCATACACTTCATTTTTGAGATAATTTTCAAAATAAAAATTGTGGGTTGACAACTAAGGATCAACTGCCAGGACAGTTTATCAAGAGCCATTTGACTCATATAGTGATGTGATGATTCTAGTAGCTTGTGCTGTTTTCTAGTCGGCGAAAAACAGTATTTAATATGGATGAAATAATGACTTGCTATGCTCGGCATCTTCAAGCTTTATAGTTTATACTACTTTCCTTTTTTAGCAGCTTTCTATTCTCACCGATGGTTTCATTCTTTTGCCCATAAGATTTTCCTTTCCCCCTTTGAATGAGGCTGTGAGATAATGTAACAAAACCGTTTTGTTGGGCACAAGCTGTGCTAGTTTCGTTTTCTTAATGCAAGGTTAGTAAGTAAACAGTAACTAATCTCACAGTTTCAAGATTGAGAGAAACTTGGACTGAATTCTTATTGAATTTTAGTTATTGATACAACGAATGAGTTGTTATACACCTTCCTACTTATACATGATTTTCTCCCTTACTAAGCTAAAGCAACAGAAACCAAAATGAACAAAAAGAAAATACAGTTTAATCAGAAATGCAAGCAAGGTTAACTGCCTAACTGTTGTGCATTCCAATGATGTATCCAACGAAAAACTACTTTACAGCTTCAAAAAACAGAACCTGAGGCTGTAAATACCCTTTTTCACACTTGCTAAGAACATCATCCCAACAGCCAATAACCTGTTCAAATTTAAACATAAATTAGACAAACTAAGCAAAAGGCAAAATATATGAATATAACCTTGTGACTTAATTGAATGTACCTCCAGAGTTTCATCATCATACATAATCCACTTTTTATACTCACGGTTGTAGACGAAGCAGATATAGTGTTCCCGATAATAGCAAACCTAAAAGGGAATTTAGTAATAAGATAAACTGTTCATGTGACATATTATTGATTTACTACAGAAACATACGTAGTGATACCAAACTAGCAACAGTGCATTTGCTATACTCCAGGGAAGGAATGAGAATAAATATTAATCAGGAAATTAACATTCTTCTATAAAATGGAAAGTGAAAAGATTTGACTTTAAATGAAGTCCACAACCAACAGAACTTGGGAAATTTTGTTTACTTGATCAATCATGAAAATGGAAGCAAATGATAGAAGAGTATAAAGCAAAGGCACGTTTACCATTGAAATAAGGGAATGTTTGTTCCCTGGATCTAAACCCTCATACATGACACCAATATCTATCTCAGTACTCAGAGCTCTCAATGTTGCGGATATATCATCTGCAGACTCACTACGACTCTCCCAACCAAGAACTGCAATCAACAAACCAAAAACTAGTAAACAAAGAACACAAAGCATAATGAAATATTTTCGAACAACTTATCATTTACCTGTTGTGAACACATGTGGAGGAGTTGAAAGAATATCGTGGACATTGTCTAATTTGCCACAGCCGCCAACCTCAGGATCACAAATTCTATAATGATGCGTTTCCGCAAGCTCCAAAAGCTCATCAAAAGATCTCTCCGCATAGTAACACTGAGTTATGAAAGAAGGTAACTTTAAAACACAGATCAAATAATTTTGCATTATTACAGAGAAATTTGCCAAATCATAAAATGCTTCAGACAAAACATGCCTTCATTCCTCTGAGTGCAATGGCACGTATGAAATGCGAAAAAGAAGTAAACTTCATTTGTTCAGATTCAATACCACAGTTGTGACAGTTCATTTTTTGAAATACGTCCATTCCAAAAATTGTATGTGCTATACAAACATCACTAGCACAATCCCAAGAGCCTGTGCAATTGCTTCCTGCTGCTTTAGTATCAGAAACACCAGAACTAGAAGTAAATGACAGATGAAGAAAGCCCAAAATGGCTTTTACAACTTTAGAAACATCATTCATCCATGCCTATAAAATCAGCAAATCAGTAGCAAAGGTAAGTTGCATAGGAAACAGAATTGTGAACTTACTTCTAAATTTATAAATCTGGAGAAGGGTGAAAATATGATGACAAGAACAAAAAAATTAAAACTTACTTCCTGGAATAAATTACCATCAGGGCTCAAATTGGTTAAAGCAATTCTAAAATTGGTAGGAGAAATAACTTCTTTCGTCATACTTGTAGATGCCACACTTAGGGCCTTGAAAATCTCATGTAATGCACAAACAACACAAGGATCTCCGATATGTGCATGCATGGATGCTGGTCTACTCAAAAACTCATCTCTAAACTTTCTTAAATGCCAGAGAGACTGCATATAAAAGGTTGATGATGGACTCATTATCATATTGTCGTTAAACAGGATAGAAAATGGAAATTTATTCTAGGAGCATAGAAATGGTAAGCTCTTTGAACTGAACACCAACCTGTATAATCACGTTTAAAAAGCAATTGTTTTCACCAACATCATTTCTCAGTCCTGGCCCGAATAAATTTGATACGCTAATATGTCCAAATTTGTAATCATCTGACCAGACCAAAAGTTTTTCTTCTGAGGCTACTTTTAGAGGCACCCTTTGGCTCATTGTTGAGGGAAGGTTCTTCTGTGCTACTAATGTCTCTGAACATAGATTAAAAGTCAGTAAATACATAATGAGTCACTTAATAGCCATAAAGAGTAAACAATGATGAATATATGTAAATAAAAAAATTAGTCACTTAGTAAGAAGGCATATAGCCCTTGCTATAATCATCCAAACAAGTCCTGGACATTTGTAGATGTCCTGTCAACATGTATGACGTGCAAATCTTTTTTACAGAGAAGAGGATTCTGGTTCTTTACCTTGCCTAACCTTGCCATGGGTGCGATATCTTTTCCTTCTGGCCCGTGGCACTTTCCAAGAATTGTCGGGCACTTTAGTTTCCTCCAAAGTTCTTACAGGGACACATGGACTCCTATCATTACTAAGCATTGAGCAAGCAACATCCATTTTCTCCAAGTCCTCCTTTATGGGTGCAACTGCATTCTTATTTTGCTTGGCTAGATTCTTCTGCTTAGCCTCATCCTCAATCTTTTTTTGATACTCCAGCATCTCTTCGAGCTTTCTTTCCTCCATTTCAAGTGCAATTTCATGCTTAAATTTCTCTCCCTGAATTCCCAATCCATCAGCACTTACAGCAACAACAATCTCAGAACTCGGATAATCACCATCGTAGCTAATAGGAAAGTGACTGGAGGAAGACAAAGGTCAAAAACCAAATTAAACTCATAATGTGCATTAGAGTCAATAGCAGAAAAGGCTGTGAGCAAAACTAGGACTTACGCTTGTTCTTCTTTTTCCTCTTGCAGCACATATAGCTCATCACCACAAGTAGCCTGCAATATTATTGGGTATTAGACTAAACTTGTATAAAACTTGTAAGACATACATTACCAGAAACTGTACTGTAAAAAACACAACCAGACTCTAAAGTTCAAAACCTTTGAAGCCTTCACTTTTCTGTGATTTTTGTTCTTTTTCTTAGCCTTTGAATTTTCAGGTGGAAGTTTTGTATTATTGCCTCCTTTGATATTATTCTTTTTGACTTCTACTGCAAGTTCTGATAAAAATGCTTCTCCTGCAGCATCTGACTTCTGCTTTGCATCTTTGTTAACCAAAGCCTCAAATTGTGCCTGGAATAGAGATTCTTGCAAATGTTAAACTTAGATCCAAGGAGGTTGGTTAACATTGCAGATAATTATGCAGAACAAACAACGCAAACCCGCATGAATGACTTCAGAAGGGGCAACATGATGGACCGATAGTCGTGACTAGATGACTTCTTTAGTTTCAGCCCCAGCTGCCGGGTAACATAAAAACTTCTCTTGATCAATTCCTGAATTTTGCTAAACTGCAGGATTGAGCATAATGAGCACGGGAAATATCACAAAACTTTATTCAAGATAAGAAGTAAAATTGGATACTGCTGAACTATTCACAAGATTGGATAGTTGCAAAGCATCCGAACCAGTGATTGATATATAATAAATTATCTAACCTTGATGAAGTAATGTATACAAGATTTTTACAATATGGAAACTTTATTATGTCTAGAGTGAAATCTAAGGCTTTATTTGCCTCTGGGTTAATTTCCCAAACTAACATAGCTACCTTTGCAGCTGTCTCTTCAATTTCTCTCTCAATTGCAATTGTAATGCAAATATCTTCTTGATGCTCAAGGACACTACTTCTTGAAGAAATTAAGTCGGTCAAGGCTTCCTGAAAGTCAAACTGATTAATATTTAGAGCTTGTGCTTCTGTAAGTATGCTCAATATAGCATTTTTCTCAAATCTATGGCTGCCGGACATAGCATCATTGTCTGCCCTAACCAGTTCTTCTTCCCACTTTCCCAAGAGGGAAGAATAAAGTTGCGGGATATGATTTTCAACTTGCTTCCTCTTCTCAAGCTCCTCGATACAGATCCTCTCAATTGCCTGTAATGCTTTCTTATGGCTTGAGATTTCACTTTTTTTTCTGTCTCGCTTTTCTAAGAGGTCAAACTCCTCCTCAAACATCTGAATAACTTCCATTCCTTGATGTTTCGTTGTTTCTTGTATTTGTGACCATAATGCTAATTCTTCTACAATCGAAAGACCGAAAAATAACCAATGTATTAAAGCATCACTATCTGGAAGAACATCAACCTCATCATGACGAATGGTATAAGTTATTGCAGAACCATCATCTGCAACAGCATCCTCATACTTGTGTGGCGTAAGCCCCCCTAGCAGTAAACGCTCATCCAGAAGGAGACACGATGAGTCACCACTAAAAACAATCCTTTCCTTAACTTTCCCCTCAATCTCATAGACATTAAGTGCATCATCCAAGGAACTACTCTTGTCAGGGTACCCCTTTAAGCCAAAAAAACTGGACACAAGCTGCAAGACTTCAAGGATCTTCTTCAACTGGGGAACTTCCAAAAAACAAATGCAGAGAGGTGTTCGGTTCAGGCCATGAATGCGAAGCTGCGATAATGGAATAAAATTCTTCTGCAGTTCTTCCATGGTATACTTTATCACCCTTTTAAATATGCATTTAGAAAGGCATTTGTGTCTAAGAAGCATTTGGAACTCGGCATGAATGCTTTCAAGAATTTTTGCACGCTCAACATCATCAGATAGTGGCCACTTCTGATCATCCGGGTTGCTCGTAGACCTATCTTCTTGACAGGAAGAGTTGCAATCATCCTCCTTCGGACAGTATTCATTATCATCTAGACATTCCTGCATACGTTCCTCACCAACAAGAATAGCCAATTGGCTTTTTGATTGTTTTTCAATAATTTTCAAAGCTCTAGACGTATCAACTGGCTTCCATGTACAATTGACAAGCATATCAGCCCAATCGGCATCAACTTCTTCTGGCACAACTATTTGCAACTTCGATAAGATGTCTGTATTGTGCTCGTGCTTAACATGCTGCATTTGCAATTCTGAGTCTTTAAACTTATCGTCACAAAAGCAACAGGGCCTGAACTTCCAAGTCTTGTTCTTCTGAGCAAAGCCTATAGCTTCTGAGAAAGTCGTTGCCGCTAAACCACCCTTGAATGAACTAAAATGGTCTCTCAAATCGTGAATTCTGAGTTCAAGCAATCCCCGCTTTCTCTCAACACTCATAGAGTTCCAATATGATTTAAACTCATCCATTCTCATCACTGCCGGCATAATCTTCTTCAGGGCAGCATACTTCCTTTGTTCATCAAGTTTGTTAGTCTCCGCATTCCTGTCAAATGCCCTCTCCTCGTCATGTTCTATTTGCATAGATTCTGATTTTAGCTGCAAAAGCCTCGCTGCAGCCACTCGAACCTCGATTTTCCTTCTCTGCTCCTCAGGGATCTTGATTGTAATTTCAAATTCAGTTGGCCGACTGGTTTCAAGATTCTCCATCGAAGTGAACAAAGAAGGAATCCTACATTTCTGTACAAGAGACTGCAATTCTTTCTGCAGATTCGCAATTCGCACTTCAGCAGTGGATACCTTCAATTGCCTCTCGTCTTGCAAACTTTCTTTGGCAGGAAACTTCTCTTGATCAATTCCTGAATTTTGCTAAACTGCAGGTCACTACCTCTTCATAGCCTTTGCTATCAATCGACACATCATAGAGTAGATTTACATAGAAAGCTGCAAATTCTAACGACTTGGGTGATAAAGAAACAGCGCATCGAGCAGACTCGAGAGCTTTTTTCAAGTGCCGTTGTTTCTTGCCATTGTCGTCGATTAGAGAAGCTACACGAACATGTACATTAGCTTCGGCGCGGTAAACGAGGGCACAGTTTTGGTGGCGAGAACAAGCTTCTTTCATGATCTTCACAGCTTTGGGGTAGTTTCCGCGGCGGACAGCAGCGAGCGCGCGCACAGATTCAAGTTTTATGGAAGCGTGATCGGAGGGGGTGAGTGGTTCTATCTTGCTCTGTTCTTTAGGGAGATCGTCGGTGAGATTGACATTCAGTGGTGCTCCGCCGTCCACGGTGGCCCTATCCTCCGTGGGTGGTGGTTTTGAGCGCGGTGGAAGGATTCGCTTCTTACGCCCCATTGGAAGATTTCAAGCTGAAATGAGTAAAGAAAGAGAAGGAATTCGATAATGTGATCTTCAATGTTGGTTCTTGTTACCAGTTCGGTTCTCACCTATCAAGAATTGGCGAATATGAACAAGACTACATGCAGACGAAGTACATACGCGATAGTTATATGTAAAACCTGTCTTTTAAAAGTTTGTTATCTTCGCTCACAGAGGCGGAATCTTGGAGGGAAAAATAGAGCAATGTTTGGTTTAATTAAAATAAATTGTTTTTAAATTTTTGTCTTTAGTTGTATCTAAAAAAAAATTAAATAAATAAAAACTAAAATATGAAAAAAATATTAAAGACAAATTTTTAAAGAATCAAACCATACAAAAGATTTTGGAATTTTTATTTTTATTTTTATAATTTTAAATTATTTTGTTTTAGGAAAACTCATCAAAAATATTAGAGATGTGTCATTTTTGTAATTAAAACCTATTTGATGAATCATTTGTAACCAACATTTTTAGATTTTCTAGTATACTTTTTCTTTTTGTTAAAAAATTTAAGTAAGTATTTTTACTCATGCTTCTTAATCTTTTCTTTTTGCCTTTTCATATTTTTTTCCAAATTCATATACAAACACTACAAGTTTACTCACTAGATCTATAAAAGAAATGAAAGTCAAAATTAGAGGACAGAAATTTTGTCAAATACCTTTGCAAGGAAACCAAACCATGCAGTACTTTTTGATGTCAACAACAGGCTCATGGAGTTGAATCCCTCGTCAGAAGAAGTGTATCCTATGAAGCACAGATACTTCAAAAAGGGTGACGTATCCGTATCGGATACTTATCGGATACCGATACTCCTCGGATACTTGCGGATACGTATCGGATACTTAATTTTGAAGTATCGGATACTCAAAGTTACATATTACTTATAATATTTTGTTTAGTTCTTTCATAAGAGGAATATAGTGAGAGCTTAAGTAATAGAATTTGTCAAATTGATGTATCCTTGTTGTCTCTCTCACTTCTCTCTCGCTTTCTCACTCTCTCACGTTTCTTCTCTCTGCTCTTATTCTTTTTTTGGTGTTGGCATGTAAGGATGATATTTAATTTGCATTTGCATTTGCTTTTGCTTTTGCTTTTAGTTTTGGATGTTTTATGAATGTTTGAGCACTTTTAGGTTAATAGGAATCCCTCTCTTTATTTATTAATTTACTTTAAGTTTTATTTTCATGCATATTACATTATTAAAATCACCACAAAAAAAAAAAAAATTATGAATGTATCCCCGCTGTACCCGTATCATACTTTTTCAAATTTTGACACATCGCCATATCCACATCCCCATATCACCATATTCGTATCCGTGCTTCCTAGGCTATCATTGATGACTTAAAAAAGTATATTTGCTGAAATTTTTATTTAAGAATGGTTTTTTGGCTTTGGATTGGCTTTGGCTTTAGCTAAGGTCTTGTGATATTCACTGATGAAGGGGAACAAGTTGAAGCTATTGACCTTGAAGACTCTTAGTTTTGTAGGAATCTTTCTTCTTTATCAAGTTGTCTTTTGCTTTAAGTTTTATTTTTATGCATACTGCATTACTAAAAATTGTTAAAATAATATTTTTTACGAACGTATCCCCGCCGTACCCGTATCCTAATTTTTCAAATTTTGTCGTATCGCCGTATCGTATCGTATCCGTATCCGTATCCCGTATCCGTATCCGTGCTTCCTAGAGTGTATCAAAACCTTTAATACTGTTCGAAGACAACAATTGGTAATCTCTACCGAATCCATTTAATCTCAGCCCTAAAACACAAAAACAAAAACAAAAAGGTAATTGATGATCCTTTTATGTTCTTTCAGCTTATTGATCAAGTTTTAACTAATGACTTATATAATACAATATACCTCAAAAAATTATTCCCCAAAAAAATACATCTATGGACCATTTTTATCACATCACGCTAAATTCAAATTTATAACATACACTTTACATCCGAACTAACCTTCAAACCAAAAATTATGAGTAGATAGAATTTTCCATTACTTAGTAGCTAATGATCGAAAAGGACAGTGTCGGGACAGAGTATCACGAGGGCTTTAACTAGTCTTGTGGCGATATCACTCACAGAGTGACGATTTTAGAAGCCTGTGATGTTTTCTAGTATTAAATTTAATTTTACATGTCTAGTGTGATGGGTTCAAGTTTGTCGATTACAGGAATTGAATATGGACTTGTAAACGTTTTCAGAGGAACTTTTATTTTAGAATTTTTAGTAGTCAACATCCTCCTATGATAATCTTTGGTTTTATTCAGTTTTAATTGGATTAATGTTTTACCCTTCTGTTGGATAAGAGACCGTTAGTGGCAAGATATTTTGCACTAGAGACACCTACTTCATCATGACCTGGGTGTACAGCACCTGACACAGAATCCAATTCCCAATATATGATCCAACAAGTTCAGTATATAGTTTGGTCTTGCATTTGCAGATAACAAATGGAATGAGGCTGCGAGTTGGTTATGTTTCATCACTTGAACTGCAAAAGAATGGACTAAAACCATTTTGTAGGACACAAGCTGTGCTAGTTTTGTTTACTTTATGCAAGTTAATAAGTAAACTGTTACTAATCTCACACAGCTTCAAGATTGAGAGAAACTAGGACTGAATTCTTATTGAGTTCAGAGTTATTGCTACAATGAAGGAACTGTTATACACCTTCCTACTCTATTTATACATGATAGTTCTCCCTTGACAAAGCTAAAGCAACAGAAACCAAAATGAACAGAAGTACAGTTTTATCAGAAATGCTAACAAGTTTAACTGCCTAACTGTTGTGTATTCCAATGATGCATCCAAAGAAAAACTACTTTACAGCTTCAAAAAACAGAACCTGAGGTTGTAAATACCCTTTTTCACACTTGGCAAGAACATCATCCCAATAGCCAATAACCTGTTCAAATTTGAACAAAATTAGACAAACAACATGAAAGGCAAAATATGTGAATAAAACCTTGAAACTTAAATTGAATGTACCTCCAGAGTTTCATCATCATACATAATCCACTTTTTATACACATGGTTGTAAATGAAGCAGATATAGTGTTGTCGATAATAGCATACCTAAAAGGAAATTTAGTAACAAGATAAGCTGTTAGTGTGACATATTATTGATTTACACAAAAATATACGTAGTGATACCAAACTAGCAACAATGCAATTTTAAGTATCAAGCAAGCAATAAGACATTCTTTTAAAGAATGGAAAGAGAAAAAAAATTGACTTCAAATGAATGATATAAGAGTATAAAACAAAAGCAAGTTTACCATTGAAATAAGGGAATATATCTTCCCTGGATCTACACCCTCATACATGACACCAATATCTATCTCAGTCCTCAGAGCTCTCAATGTTGCAGATATATCATCTGCAAGCTCACTACGACTCTCCCAACCAAGAACTGCAATCAATAAACCAAAAACTAGTAAACAAAGAACACAAAGCATAATGAAATATTTTCGAACAACTTATCATTTACCTGTTGTGAACACATGTGGAGGAGTTGAAAGAATATCGTGGACATTGTCTAATTTGCCACAGCCGCCAACCTCAGGATCACAAATTCTATAATGATGCATTTCCGCAAGCTCCAAAAGCTCATCAAAAGATCTCTCTGCATAGTAACACTGAGTTATGAAAGAAGATAACTTTAAAACACAGATCTAATAATTTTGCATTATTAAAGGAAAATTTTCCAAATCATAAAATGCTTCAGGCAAAACATGCCTTCATTCCTCTGAGTGCTACGGCACGTATGAAGTGGGAAAAAGAAGTAAACTTCATTTGTTCAGATTCAATACCACAGTTGTGATAGTTCATTTTTTGAAATATGTCCATTCCAAGAATTGTATGTGCTATACAAGCATCACTAACACAATCCCACGAGCCTGTGCAATTAATTGCTTCCTGCTGATTTAGTATAGGAAAAAGTAGAACCAGAAGTAAATGACTGATGAAGAAAGCCCAAAATGGCTTTAAAAACTTTAGAAGCATCATTCATCTGTGCCTGTAAAATCAGCAAATCAGTAACATAAGTGACCTCTTAATTTACTACTTTGGAGACGGGTGAAAATATGATGATAAGACCAACAAAAATATGAACTTACTTCCTGGAATAAATTACCATCAGGGCTTAAATTGCTCAAAGCATTTCTTAAATTGGTAGGAGAAACAACTTCTTTCGTCACATTTGTAGATGCCACACTTAGGGCATTGAAAATCTCATGTAATGCACAAACAACACAAGGATCTCCGATATGCACATGTATGGATGTTGATCTACTCAAAAACTCGTCTCTAAACTTCCTTAAATGCCAGAGAGACTTCATATTCACAGAAAGGTTGATAAAATGAATTCATTAACATATTGTAGTTAAAGGGAAAAGAAATGGAAAGCTCTTTGAACTGAACACCAACCTGTATAATTACATTTAAAAAGCAATTGTTTTCACCAACATCATTTCTTAGTCCTGGACCGAATAAATCTGACCAGACTGAAAATTCTTCTGAGGATACTGTAGGAGGTACCCTTTGGCTCGTTGTTGAGGAAAGGCTCTTCTGTGCTACTAATGTCTCTGAAAATAGACAGAAACAAAAAGTCAGTAAATACATAATGAGTCACTTAATAACCATAGAGAGTAACATAATGAGTCACTTAATAACCATAGAGAGTAAACAATGATGAATATATGTAAATACATAACGAGTCACTTTATAAGAAGGCATATAGCACTTGTATTGCACCCTATTTCTTTGGAAATATAACCATCCAGACAAGTCCTGGACATTTGCAGATGTCCTGTCAACATGTATAACGTGCAATTTTATTTTTATTTTTTTTGGCAGAGAAGAGGATTCTGGTTCTTTACCTTGCCTGACCTCACCAAGGGTTCGAGATCTCCTTGTGGTCGTTTGTACTTTCGAAGAATTGTCAAGCACCTTAGTTTCCTCCAAAGTGCTCACAGGGACACCTGGATCACAATCATCACTAAGCGTTGAGCAAGTAACATCCATTTTCTCTGACTCTGCGGTTATGGTTGCAACAGCATTCTTATTTTGCTTGGCTAGATTCTTCAGTTTGGCCTCATCCTCAATCTTTTTTTGATACTCCAACATCTCTTTGAGCTTTCTTTCATCCATTTCATGCTCAATTTCATGCTGAGGTTCATTGTCTTGTAGCTCAAATTCATCAGATCTTTCAGGAACAACAATCTCAGAACTTTGATAATCACCATCATAGCCAACAGGAAATTGACTGGAGGAAGAAAAAAGTCAAAAACCCTTAAACTACAAATGTACATTAAAGTGAACAGCAGAAAATGATGTGGTCTTTTATTTAATTTTCTTTAGTGTAGCCTTGTGGCTGAGAACCAAACGAGGACTTACTCTTGTTCTTCATTTTTCTCTTTCAGCTCGCTGCCACAAGTAGCCTGTAATACTATTGATTAATAGAGTATTAGACTAAAATTATATAACACTTATGACATACATGACCAGACTCGAAAGTTCAAAACCTTTGACTCCTTCATTTTTTTCTTGGCCTTTGGATTTCCATGTCGAAGTTTTGTATTATTGCCTCCTTTGCTAATATTCTTTTTGGCATCTACTGCAAGTTCTGATAATAATGCTGCTTCTGCAGCAGCTGACTTCTGCTCTGCATCTTCGTTAACCAAAGCCTCGAATTGTGCCTGGAAGAGAAATTTATACAATGTTAAACTTAGATCCAAGGAGGTTCGATAACATTGCAGGAGATTTATGCAGCATAAACAATACAAACCCGCATGAATGACTTAAGAAGGGGCAACATGATGGACTGATAGTCTTGTCTAGATGTCTGCATAAAGTTTACCCCCAGCTGTCGCGCAACCATAAAACTCCCCACAAATATTGCTTCAATTTTTCTAAGCTGCAAGACTTAACATAATGAGCAAAGGAAATATCACAATACATTACTCAAGATAAGCCAAGAATTCAGAAATCATACCTAAGAAATATGCAAAATCAAGAAGTTGAATAAGGAATAACAGTAGAAAGTAGAAATATTAGTTTCAGATTGGGAAAAACAATGCAAGTTGTAATAGTGAAAAGAAACATAAATTGATACTGCTGAACTATTTACAAGATTGGACAGTTGCAAAGCATCTGAATCAGCGATTGATAGATAATCAATTATCTAACCTCGATAGGGTAAGGTATACATGATTTTTAAAATAATGGAAAGTTGATTATATCAAAAATAGGTTGAGTGCACAAACAAACATAGCTACCTCTGCAGATGGCTCCTCAATATGTCTCTGTATTGCAATTCTAATGCAAGCATCTTCTTGATGCTCATGGTTACAACTCGGTGAACTGATGCTGGTCAAATTTTCTTTAAGTATGCTAGATATAGCATCTAACTCAAATCTACTGCTGTGGGACATAGCATCATTGTCTTCCCCAATAAGTTCATCTTGCCGCCTCCTTAAGAGGGACACATAACTTTGCAGGATATGCTCTGCAACTTGCTCCCTCTTCTCAAGCTCCTTAATGCAAATGCTCTCTAATGCCTGTAATGCTTCCTTATGGCTCAAAAGTTCACATTTTTTGCTTTGCATCATTTCTAAGTGATCAAATTCTTTCTCAAATGTCCGAATAACATTCATTCCTTGATGCCTCGCAGCATGTTGTATATTTGTCCATAATGTTAATTCTTCTCCAATTGAATGACCAGAAAACAACCAACGAATTAAAGCATCACTATCTGGAAGCACATCAACTTCATCATGACCAATGGTACAAGTTATTGCTGAACCATCATCTGCAACAGCATCCTCGTAATTGCATGGCAATAGCTCCCCTCGCAGTAAACGCTCATCCAGAAGGAGACATGATGAGTCACCATTAAAAACAATCCTTTCTTTAACTACCTTCCCCTCATAGACATTAAGTTCATCATTCAAGGAACTACCCTCGTCAAGGTACATGTTTAAGCCATAACTAATGGCCACGGTCTGCAAGAATGTAAGGATCTTTTTTAAATAGGGCTCCTCCATAAAACAGATACAGAGAGGTGTTTTCTCCAGGCCATTACTGTAAATCTCCGATAATGGAACAAAATTCTGCAGTTCTTCTATGGTGTCATTTATCAACTGTTTAAGAGTACTCTGAGCAAGACATTTGTGTCTAAGAAGTATTTGGAACTCAGCATGAATGCTTTCAAGAATTTTTGCACGCTCAACATCATCAGATATTGGCCACTTCTGATCATCCGGGCAGGCCATAAGTTGCAAATACCCCTCAGAATCATGTCTGCTTCTTTCATTACCACTGCGAACCTGCCCTTTGTTTGGCTCTTCATCCTCCTTCAGACAGTATTCATCATTATCAGGAAGATTAGCCAATACGCTTTCTAATTGTTTGTGAATAATTTTCCGAGCTCTATGGGTATCCACTGGCTTCCATGTACAATTGACAAGCATTTCAGCCCAATCAGCATCAACTTCTTCTGGCTTAACTTGTTGCAACTTCGATGAGATGCCTTTCTTGTGCTCCTGGTCAATATGCTGCATTTGCAATTCTGAGTCTTTAAACGTCTCACCACAAAAGAAACAAGACCAGAACTTCCAAGTCTTGTTCTCTTGGGCAAAGCCTAAAGCTTCTGAGAAAGTCTTTGCCGCTAAACCATCTTTCATTGAACTAAAATGGTCTCTCAAATCGCGAATTCTGAGTTCAAGCAATCCCCGCTTTTTCTCGACACTCATAGAGTTCCAATACGATTTAAACTCATCCATTCTTTTCAATGATGGCATCATCTTCATCAGGGAAGCATACTTCCTTCGTTCATCAAGTTTGTTTTTCTCCGAATTCAGATCAGGTTCTGTTTGCATAGATTCTAAATTTTGCTGCACAAGCCTCGCTGCAGCCACTTGAACCTCAATTTCCCTTCTCCGCTCCTCATGTGTCTTCACTACCTTCTGAACTATATTTGGCCACTTGGTTTCAAGATTCTCCATAGAAGTTGTTAAAATTGATGTATGTATTATTGATTGATGTATGTTGATTGTATTGTATGTACATTATATAGGAGATGTGAAGTGGAGTTGGAGTAGTGGAGTAGGTGAAGTGGAGGTGGTAGTGGTGTAGTGGGTGAAGTGGAGGTGGTAGTGGTGTAGTGGGTTAGGTTTAGTGGAGTAGGTGAGGTGGTAGTGGTGTAGTGGGTTAGGTTTAGTGGAGTAGGTGAGGTGGTAGTGGTGGTAGGTGAAGGGTCATGTCGGACCGTTGTAGAAGCTGACCGGAATCAATGTCGGGACAGTTTATGGGGTCATGTCGGACCGTTGTAGAAGCTGACCGGAATCAATGTCGGGACAGTTTATGGGGTCATGTCGGACCGTTGTAGAAGCTGACCGGAATCAATGTCGGGACAGTTTATGGGGTCATGTTGGACCGTTGTAGAAGCTGACCGGAATCAAGTAGCAGACAGTTTACGGGGTCATGTCGGACCGTTGTAGCAGACACTGTGTGGTCGTGTCAGACCGATGTAGAAGACAGTTTATAGGGTCATGTCGGACCGATGTAGAAGACAGTTTACAGGGTCATGTCGGACCGTTGTAGAAGCTGACCGAAATCAATGTCGGGACAGTTTACGGGGTCATGTCGGACCGTTGTAGAAAATTGTGGTGGTGCACCAAGGGGGTGACTTAGGGAGTGCACCATGGGCGACTTATACATGATACTGTGTATAACCCCCCCTCAAACTCAAATAGGTGTGAAGATAGAAACCCTATTTGAGGTTGAAACAAAGGGATTGATAAAGCTGACCGGTGTAGAAGACACTGTATGAGTGTGTATATAGGCTGCCCAAAAGATATACATGGATATAGATATCGAGCCCTCAAAAATCGTGCCCTCAAAAGGTGTGCCCAATCTTTCAAAAAGGCGTGCCATCAAAAGGCGTGCCCAATCCAATAAAAAGGTGTGCCGGACATTATGGCGATGCGCGTGACTACCTTGGCTTGTATGCCCATGGTGTCGTCTAGCGCCGAGCGGCGCACGATGCCCGTGTCTGCCTTGGCTATTTAACCAAGACTGAGGCTGAGGCTGAGACAAAAACCTGCTAAAAACCTCTGAAAAACTCTTCGTTTTCTGAGAGAGATACTCTGTAACACTCTGTTGCCCAGAAAATGGCCTCTTCTTCCCGTGGTCTACTCACTCTCTTTCCAGACCTCAACGAGTCCACAAGAGAGATAACTAGTGCAGTTGCCCTTGAACCTCAACCAAGCGCCCCTGAGTTTGCTCCGTTGACCTTTCCTATGCGGTCTGTGGAGCAAAGAATGGCAGCGCAATCAGATATTGAGGCGAATCAGTATACATTGAAGTCATGTGTGGAGACGATGACTGCAGTTACAAACTTGTCGCACCGGCTGCAGAGTAGGACAAATGAGGTGCAGCAGTTAAACGCCCAACTGGCTCTACTCCAACGCATGTATAAGGATGCGCGAGCAGAGATAAGTGTGCTAAAGGCGGAAAATAAGGAGCTGAAGCGGCAGGCCACCGTGATGTTCCGATTTGGAGGGCCGCCATATGCTGCAGTGGAGGAGCAGGGAGTAGTGATCGTGCCCAGTGGAGTGGGAAACATGGAGGCAACACCAGCAAGGGCCGCCCAGGACGGAGGTAAGAAGAAGAGACCTGCGGCAGAGTAGGTCGGTGGGTAGCCGTCTGCAGAAAAGAAAACAAATCTGTTGTTGTTGTGATGGGGATCTTGTGTGGTTTTGTTTTTTTTTTTTTTTTTTTTTTGTAAAAAATGTGATCGGGGTGATCCCTGAGATAAAATATGGGTTGGTGTGCAAATTTGAAATTTTTGTGTGTTTTTTTTTTTGATGAGCATGGTGATGATGAATAGATAATGATGAATAAAAATAAGAAAGGTGGGAGTGGGGAACAGGGCGAATCAAGAGCACCAATTAAGCGGGATAATAAAAAATAAAGTTATAAGAAAAAATAAAGTTTGGGCGGTGGATGGTTTTTTTTGTTTTTTGTTTTTTTGTTTTTTTGGTGGTGGTGGGAAGAATAATAAGAAGACTAAAAATAATAATAATAAAAATGTATTAATGGGAAAGCATGTGCGTTGGTGGGTGGAATAAATGAAGGCAAATGATGGATATGATGAAAGGGGGTCTGATGGAGAGAAAAAAGGGACCAGAGAGAGGGAGTGGATGGATTAAAAAAAATGGTTTCATCATAAAGTGCATGTGGGACGGTGGCGTGCTGTCTGTATTGGGGTGTGAAAGTATGGTGTGTTGTGTAGCTCCAAAAAATGTTGTCTGTCATCTCCTTCTGTGTATGATAGGAGAGAGAGAGAGAGAGAGAGAGAGTCCAAGACCAAGAAGAGAGAGATTAAGAAGAGTGAGCAAATGTTTGAAGTTGGCGAACTGGTCGGGCGACGGCATGAGCAAGACGAGGCCATGTTCTGGGCAACAAAGTGTTACAGAATATTACAGAGTTTCTCTCTCAGAACACGAATCTCTCAGAACACGACGGCGAGTAAGGCTACGTCGGAATGAAACACCGATGTTGTGGATTGAAGATTGCTGATCTGGGTTGTGCTAGATTGGCGGAACACGGCGGCAATACGGTGTTTTCCGGTACACCAGTATTCATGGCGAGAATGCTGAATGATAAGATGAAGATGCAAGTTGGGCAAGTGCTGGAACAGCACCACCTGTCAACCCTCTGAACGATTGGCATCACATGGTTGAATCCATAGAATGCACTTGTTGTACAACCAACGGCAGAACCAATCATAGAAAAGCTATCCCTAATGAGGGGAGGAATTTCTGGATTTGTGAATCTGATCATCCTGTGAGGTTGGAGATGGCAATGACGGAGAGAGTGTGTAGTACAATCAACTATGGATTCAGTTGCCTGAGGAACGAACTACATTGGAAATGGGAAAGGTATGCGTAGAAAATAAGCAGAATAGGTGGAGGTCCGGCGGACGGCTAAGGTGAGGTTGCTGCCCGCCGGTGAAGCGAAAAATATTAGGTTCTAAACCTGCTCTGATACTATGTTAAAATTGATGTATGTATTATTGATTGATGTATGTTGATTGTATTGTATGTACATTATATAGGAGATGTGAAGTGGAGGTGGTAGTGGTGTAGTGGGTGAAGTGGAGGTGGTAGTGGTGTAGTGGGTTAGGTTTAGTGGAGTAGGTGAGGTGGTAGTGGTGTAGTGGGTTAGGTTTAGTGGTGTAGGTTTACCAGAAGTCGAAGATGAAGAAACCATAGCGATCCTACATTTATGCATAACAATCTGCAATGCAGTCAGCATATTCGCAATTCGCTGTTCTACTGTGGGTACATTTGATTGGCTAGGAGGTTGAACAATTTCTCTGACAGGGTCGATCGGATTACCAATCGACAACCCTCGCTCACACTCTCTCGCTGCTTCTTCGTAGCCATTGCCATCACTGGACACTTGGTAGAGTACAGTCGCGTAAAAAATAGAAAATTCTATCGAGTTGGGCGATAAAGAAACTGCTCGACGAGCCGAATCGACAGCGTTTTGCAAGTGGCGTAGTTTGGTGACATTGTCATCGATTAGAGAAGCTAGTTGACAATGTGCATAACCTTGAACGCGGTGAGTGAAAGGACAGTCCTCGTGACGAAGACACAAGTCTTTCAAGATCCTTAGGGCTTTGGCGTGGTTTCCACACTCGATAGCATTGATGGCGCGATCACATTCAAGTTTGATCGGAGCGTTAGCGGGGGAGTGTGGATCGATCTTGCTCTGTTCTTGAGGGAGATCGTCGTCGGTGAGATTGACATTCGATGATGATGCTCCGCCGCCCACAGAGGCTCTATCCTCAGTCGTCGGTGGTGGTTTCGAGCGCGGAGGAAGGTTTGGCTTCTTACGCCCCATTGCAAGATTCAAACTGAACTGAAAAGAATCGAACGCGAGAATTCGATTATGTGATTGATTATGATCGATGTTCGTTCTTGATTACTGTTTGTTCGATTCTCAGATTTCAAGAAGTAGAGAGCGAGAATGATCAATGCTCGGTGCAGATGAAGATATAAGCATATGTATTCTATATAAAAACCTCACTTTTCTAAGTCAGTTGTCTTTCGCGCCACAGAGGCAGGACCTTGGAGGGAAAAAATATATATATATTTATATAACTCACTTTTCTAATCGTAATGATTTTTTTATTTTATTTTTTTTTCAGATGAGAATAAGGGAAAATATAAGGGTCAAGCACCAATAAATCTTAAATTTAGATTTCGTGAACTGATCAGTCCTTAAGTTTTTCTTATGGACCCAAAAGTCCTCTTATAAGTGAAATTATATTAATGTTGTATTTGGTTAGGGATTTGAGGAGAGATTTGAAAAGAAAAATGAAAAAGATAGGTTAAATATGAATAAAACATGCTTATATTTCACTTAATTTCACACATATTTTACTTTTCCCTTTCCAAATCCCTCATCAAATCCCCCAACCAAACACAGTGTAAAGGATGGGGGTAAAACACGCGTGTCCCCCAACCAAACACAGTGTAAAGGATGGGGGTAAAACACGCGTGTGTGGAAAACGAGAGGTGAATGTGAGATTTCGCAATGGGCTAAAATTACACATTTGCACCAAGCTCACTATAGACTTTTTGTGTTTTCCCTCATTTGCGATCGAATCCCACACTATCAAGGAAGGAAATATTTGTATTCCCAATATTTAATTGTTGCATAGTTAATATGAAATTGGGTGCCAATTTTTTGTGTTGTAGCTTCCAGAAATCATGAGATTGAAGGACATTAGGATACAGAAACCCTACATTGTGTGAATGTGGGATTTGGTGTTAGAGCCAGCAGACATTGAATTTGTATTGTTGAGCGGGTGTTGCAGAGATGACGACGCCACGACCAGGTTAGTGATGTTTATTTGAAATGAAGTCGTGAATGAGAGGCGTATTGATAGGGTTTGTTAGCCTAGAGTTGGGGGTTGTAATGTTGGGATGTATTACTGATGTTGTATGCATTTTTTGTGTGGTATGTGCTTGGTATTTGGTCCACCATTGTTGGGTTTTTGAATTTTGTTGGGTTTAGGTTGTTTGACAGTGTCGTCTAGTATTCAATCGTGTGTTGATGTGTGTATTTTTTTGGTAGGATCAACCATTATGTGTTTGTGTTTCACTGTTAAGTTCGGGTATTATCCAGGTGGCACATTTTGCAATTGGATTGTGATGTTAATGGGTGATGTATGAAAATTCCACATACACATTAAAGTATATTACCAAAATGTGGTCCTGGTTATGTGATCCTAATGTCTATGTGGTTTGGCATTACACGTTGGCCAACCTAGGGGGAGTACCCTGCGTTGTGGAACTGTAGATGTGTTGAATCTGATTATATAACACGGCATTAACAACGTACTCAACCGTGTCGTTGAACGATATGAAAATGAGGAGTAGTGGTTGTAGTGTAAATGTGTATGGACATTGTTCCGTCGAGGTTTTGTAGTGTTTTTTTGTCGTTTTAATGTGTTATAGTTTTTGAACCAGTATGGGTCGAAATGGGTGGCTGATGTGTTGTTGTAGGTGTTGTTCGTATGTGATTCGAAATGTTGCCATAGTTGTTTAGGTCTTTGATGGGAAATGTTACCTTGATTATTATGTGTTACGCCACACTTCTTCGAAAATGTGTTATTGGCTCTTCCATGAGACTGTGAGGTTGTATTAATTGTTTCCATATGTAATGAATCGTTAAGGCATACACATTTACGTCGTAAGTGTGTTTATGGAGTGTGATTACAAATATTAAGTCCATGAATAGAACAATGTTCGCACGTTTGGTGAGCGAGTTCTGTACAATCATAGCCTAAGTCCATGAATTGGATTGTGATGTTAATGGGTGATGTGTGGGAATTCCACATACACATTAAAGCATATTACCAAAATGTGGTCCTGGTGATGTATGAGAATTCCACACAGAATAATATCAATCACGTCTAACCCACCAAATTTTACAAACTCAGCAATTGGTTTCCAAAAGGAATCATTAAAAAGGGTATTCTAGTCGAGAGATACACCTTTCCAAAAAAAAAATAAGGTATAAGACTTATTTACATAATTGAATGTATAAAATTAAAATATATTTTTGGTATCATTAAAAATTATTAATTAACTTAATAATTCATTAATAAAATAAATCATTTATTATAAAATTAGAAATTTCAGGAAAATGTAATTTCTTGAATCACAAGACACAATTCATTCTTTAAATAATTTGTAATTTACTTTTGATTTAACAACACAATTGAATAAACCTTATTGGCTCATAATAACTATTTAGTGGATCAAAAAAAAATTATTCACATTCTAATATATATATATATACATATTATTCACGCAATTTGTATAATATTGTAAGTATTGTTTTCGTGCGTTTGGGTCAAAATAATTTTATTTAAGGTTTTTTTTTTTTGTTTTTTTTAAAGCCTAGTCCTTACATATTTGTTATTACTACACCATTCAAATTCATTTTTTACACAAAAAATTTTGCTTATTTTAAAATTTTTTTTGATAAATTACAAAGAATTTGTTTATTTTTATTTTTATAATTTTACATGATTTTGTTTTCACAAAACCCGTCCAAAGTATTGGAGATGTGTCATTTTTGTAACTAAAACCAATTTTGATGAATCACTTGTAACTACCATTTTTTAGATTATCTAATACTTTCTCTTTTTTGTTAAATGTAATGCATCATAAATTTAGACTGTGAAGAAAAAGAAAAAAAAAATTAACAAAGTATATACTCATGTTTCTATCAATTTTTTTTTTTTTTCCATTTTCATATTTCTTCTCAAATTCATAATACAAACACTAGTTTACTCGCTAGATCTGTATAAGAAATGAAAGTCAAAATTAGAACAGAGAAATTTTGTGAAATACCTTTGCAAGGAAACCAAAACGCTGAGCACTTTTTGATGTCAACAACAGGCTCATGGAGTTGAATCCCTTATCAGAAGAAGTGTGTCGAAACCTTCAATACTGCTCAAAGACAGCAATTGGTAATCTCTACCGAATGCATTTGATCTCAGCCCTAAAACACAAAAACAAAAACAAAAGGGTAATCGGTGATCCTTTCGTGTTCTTTCAGCTTAGTTTTCTCGATTTCTATTTATTGTTCGAGTTTTAACTAATGACTTGTATAATACAATATACCTAGTAAAATTACTCAAAAAAAAATAAATCTATGAACCATTTTTTATCACATCACGCCAAATTCAAATTTATAACATACACTTTACATCCGAATTAATCTTCAAAATAAAAATTACGAGTATTTGGAATTTTCCATTACTTGGTAGCAATGATAACAAGTACATAGTCAGGACTAGGTATCATGAGGCCATTAACTAGTCTTGTGGCAATATCACTCACAGAGCGATGATTCTAGAAGCCTGTGCTGTTTCCTAGTCCAATTAAATGTAATTTTCATGTCTAGTGTGTTGGGCTCAAGTTTGTCAATTACAGGAATTACATATGGAATTGTAAATATTTTCAGAGGAATGTCCATTTTAGAATTTTTTGTAGTCAATATCCTCCTATGGTTACCTTTGGTTTTATGCAGTTTGAATTGGATTATGTATTTTTACCCTTTTGTTGGTTAAGACAATCAGTGGCAAGAGATTTTGCACTGGAGACACCTACTTCATCATGACAGCACCTGACACAGAATCATATTCCCAATATATGCTCCAACAAGTTCAGTGTATTTGGTCTTGCATTTGCAGATAACGAGTGGAATGAGGCTACGAGTCGGTTATGTTTCTTCACACTCAGAGAGAATGGAATAAAGCCATTTTGTTGGACACAAGCTGTGATAGTTTTTTTTTCTTTACGCGAGGTTAGTAAGTCAACTGTTGCTAATCTCACAGTTTCAAAATTTAGAGAAACTCAGACAGAATTCTTATTGAATTTGAGTTATTGATACAATGAACGAACTGTCATACACCTTCCTACTCTAATTATATCATACATGATTATTCTCCCTAACAAAGCCAAAGCAACAGAAACCAAAATGAACAAAAATACAGTTTTATCAGAAATGCTAACAAGTTTAACTGCCTAACTGTTATGTATTCCAACGATGTATCCAAAGAAAAACTACTTTACAGCTTCGAAAAATAGAACCTGAGGTTGTAAACACCCTTCTTCACATTTGGTAAGAACATCATCCCAACAGAAAATAACCTGTTCAATTTTAAACATAGATTTGGCAAACTAAACAAAAGGCAAAATATATGAATAAAACCATGCAACTTAATTGAATGTACCTCCGGAGTTTCATCATCATACATAATCCACTTTTTATACTCATGGTTGTAAACGAAGCAGATATAGTGTTCCCGATGATAGCAAACCTAAAAGGGAATTTAGTTATAAGATAATCTGTTCTTATGGCATATCATTGATTTACTACAAAAATATACATAGTGATACCAAACTAGTGACATTTCATTTGCTATGAAGACATTCTTGTATAAAATGGAAAGAGAAAAAGAAAAAAAAAATTCTAAATGAAGTCCATAACCTACAGAAATTGGGAAAATTTGTTTACTTAGATCCATCATGAAAAATGGAAGCAAATGATAGAAGAGTATAAAGCTAAGGCACGTTTACCATTGAAATAAGGGAATATATCTTCCCTGGATCTACACCCTCATACATGACACCAATATCTATCTCAGTACTCAGGGCTCTCAATGTTGCAGATATATCATCTGCAGGCTCACTACGACTCTCCCAACCAAGAACTGCAATCAACAAACCAAAAACTATTAAACAAATAACACAAAGCATAATGAAATATTTTTAAACAACTTATCATTTACCTGTTGTGAACACATGTGGCGGAGTTGAAAGAATATTGTGGACATTGTCTAATTTTCCACAGCCGCCAACCTCAGGATCACACATTCTATAATGATGGGTTTCCGCAAGCTCCAAAAGCTCATCAAAAGGTCTCTCCGCATAGTAACACTGGGTTATGAAAGAAGATAAACTTTAAACCACGGATCTAATAATTTTGCATTATCAAAGGAAAATTTGCCAGATCATTAAATGCTTCAGGCAAAACATGCCTTCATTCCCCTGAGTGCTACAGCACGTATGAAGTGGGAAAAAGTAGTAAACTTCATTTGTTCAGATTCAATACCACAGCTGTGACAGTTCATTTTTTGAAATATGTCCATTCCAAAAATTGTATGTGCTATACAAGCATCACTAACACAATCCCACAAGCCTGTGCAATTGCTTCCTGCTGCACAAAAACAAAAACAAAAACAGAACCAGAGGTAAATGACTGATGAAGAAAGCTTAAAATGGCTTTTAAAACTTTAGAAGCATCATTCATCTGTGCCTGTAAAATCAGCAAATCAGTAACAGAAATGACCTCTTAATTTACTACTTTGGAGAACGGTGAAAATATGATGACAAGACCAACAAAAATCTGAACTTACTTCCTGGAATAAATTACCATCAGGGCTCAACTTGCTCAAAGCAATTCTTAAATTGGTAGGAGAAACAACTTCTTTTGTCATATTTGTAGATGCCACATCTAGGGCATTGAAAATCTCGTGTAATGCACAAACAACACAAGAATCTCCGATATGCACATGCATGGATGTTGGTCTACTCAAAAACTCATCTCTAAACTTTCTTAAATGCCAGAGAGACTGCATATTCACAGAAAGGTTGATAAAATGAATTCATTACCATATTGTAGTTAAAGGGGATAGAAAAAGAAAAATTATTCTGGGAGCATAGAAAGCTTTTTAAACTGAACTCCAACCTGTATAACTACGTTTAAAAAGGAATTGCTTTCACCAACATCATTTCTCAGTCCTGGGCCGAATAAATCTGATACACTAATATTTCCAAATGCGAAATCAGCTGACCAGACCAAAAGTTCTTCTGAGGATACTTTTGGAGGCACCCTTTGGCTCGTTGTTGAGGGAAGGCTCTCCTGTGCTACTAATGTCTCTGAAATTAGGCAGACAAACCAAAAGTATATATATAATGAGTCACTTAATAACCATAGAGAGTAAACAATGATAAATGTATATGCAAATACATAATGAGTCAATTAATAAGAAGGCATATAGCCCTTGTACTGTGACATATTCGTTTGGGAATATAACCATCCAAACAAGTCCTGGACATTTGCAGTTGTTCTGTCAACATGTATCGTTTGCAGAGAAGAGGATTCTGGTTCTTTACCTTGCCTGGCCTTGCCATGGGTTTGAGATCTTCTCCTTGTGGTCCTTTGTACTTTCGAAGAATTGTCGAGCAATTTAGTTCCTTCCAAAGTGCTCACAGGGACACCTGGACCACTATCATCACTAAGCGTTGAGTGAGTAACAGCCATTTTCTCTAACTCTTCTGTTCTGGTTGCAATTGCATTCTTATTTTGCTTCCCTAGATTCTTCTGCTTAGCCTCATCCTTAATCTTTTTTTGATACTCCAACATCTTTTCGAGCTTTCTTTCCACCACTTCATGCTCAATTTCATGCTGAGGTTCCTCTTCTTGTAACTCGAATTCATCAGATCTTTCAGAAACAACAATCTCAGAACTCCGATAATCACCATCATAGCCAATGGGCACCTTAGTTTCTTCCAAAGTGCTCACAGGGATACCTGGACCACTATCATCACTAAGTGTTGAGCAAGTAACATCCATTTTCTCCAACTCTTCTGTTATTGTTGCAACTGTATTCTTATTTTTCTTGGCTAGATTCTTCTGTTTAGCCTCATCCTCAATTTTTTTTTGATATTCCAACATCTCTTCGAGCTTTCTTTCCTCCACTTCATGCTCAATTTCATGCTGAGGTTCCTCTTCATGTAGCTCGAATTCATCAGGTCTTTCAGCAACAGCAATCTCAGAACTCTGATAATCACCATCATAGCCAACAGGAAAGTGACTGGAGGAAGAAAAAAGTCAAAACCCTTAAACTAAAAATGTACATTAGAGTGAATAGCAGAAAATGCTGTGATCTTACGGCTGAGAGCCATACGAGGACTTACTCTTGTTCTTCAATTTTCTCTTTCAGCTCGCTGCCACAAGTAGCCTGCAATACTATTGATTATTAGAGTATTAGACTAAAATTATATAACACTTAAGACATACATGACCAGACTCTAAAGTTCAAAACCTTTGAATCCTTCACTTTTCTTTGATTTTTTTCCTTTTTCTTAGCCTTTGGATTTCCATGTGGAAGTTTTGTATTATTGCCTCCTTTGCTCACATTCTTTTTGGCTTCTAGTGCAAGCTCTAATAAAAATGCTTCTTCTGCAGCAGCTGACTTCTGCTTTGCATCTTCGTTAACCAAAGCCTCGAATTTTGCCTGAAAGAGAAATTCTTGCAATGTTAAACTTAGATCCAAGGAGGTGTGAGAATAATATTAGTATATACTAATATTATTCTCACAGGAGGTTGGACGACATTGCAGAGAATTATGCAGCGTAAACAATGCAAACCCTCATGAATGACTTCAGAAGGGGCAACATGATGGACCGATAGTCATGTCTAGATGCTTGCATAAATTTTACCACCAGCTGCCGTGCAACGGTAAAACCCCTCACGATCAATCCTTCAATTTGCCCAAGCTGCAAGACTTAACATAATGAGCACAGGAAATATCACAATACATTACTCGAAATAGGCCAAGAATTCAGGAATCATACCTAAGAAATATGCAAAATCAAGAAGTTGAATAAGGAAAATATTAGGCATAACAGTAACAGTTGAAATATTAGTTTCAGATTGGGAAAAACAAAGCAAGTTGTAATATAGAAAAGAAGCATAAATCAATACTCCTGAACTAATCACAAGATTGATAGTTGCAAAGCATCTGAAGCATTGATTGATAAATAATCAATTATATGACCTCAACAAGGTTAGGTATACAAGATTTTTACAATATGGAAAGTTTATTATATCAAAAAGGCTTTATTTGCCTATGGAGGGTTGAATTAAGGGAGTGCAAGTACTTAGTTGGTTTGCCAAGAATAGGGAGATTTTCTCCCATAAGTGCTAATCCAACAACTAACAACTAACATTTGCTGATAAAAAAAAAAATGAAGGCTATTTGCCTATGGGTTGAGTGCCCAAACAAGCATAGCTACCTCTTTAGATGATTCATCAATTTGTCCCTGGATTGCAGTTCTAATGCAAGCATCTTCTTGATGCTCATGGTCACTACTCGGAGAATTTATGCCAGTCAAAGCTTCCTTAAGTATGCTCGATATAGCATCTAACTCAAATCTACTGCTGCGGGACATAACATCATTGTCTTCCCCAACAAGTTCATCTTGCCGCCTGCTTAAGAGGGACACATAACTTTGTGGGATATGCTCTGGAACTTGCTCCCTCTTCTCAAGTTCCTCAATACAAATGCTCTCCATTGCCTGTAATGCTTCCTCATAGCTCAAAACTTCACTTTTTCTGCTGTGCCACATTTCTAAGAGATCAAATTCTTTCTCAATTGTCTGAATAACATTCATTCCTTGATGCTTCATAGTATCTTGTATAGTTGTCCATAATACTAATTCTTCTCCAATTGAACGACCAGAAAACAACCAATGCATTAAAGCATCACTATCTGGTAGCACATCAACTTCATCATGACCAATGGTACAAGTTATTGCTGAACCATCATGTGCAACAGCATCCTCGTAATTGCATGGCATTAGCTCCCCTCTCAGTAAACGCTCATCCAGGAGGAGACACGATGAGTCACCATTAAAAACAATCATTTCCTTCAAATCTTTCCCCTCATAGACATTAAGTTCATCATTCAAGGAACTACCCTCGTCAGGGGACCTGTTCAAGCCACAAGTATCAGACACAATCCGCAAGCATCTAAGGATCTTTTTTAAGTAGGGCTCCTCCATAAAACAGATACAGAGAGGTGTTTTGTCCAGGCCATTACTGCAAATCTGCGATATTGGAACAAAATTCTTCAGTTCTTCTATGGTTTCATTTATCAACTGTTTAAGAGTACTCTTAGAAAGACATTTGTGTCTACGAAGCATTTCGAACTCGGAATGAATACTTTCAAGAATTTTTGCACGCTCAACATCATCAGATATTGGCCACTTCTGATCATCCGGGCAGGCCATAAGCTGCAAATACTCCTCAGAATCATGGCTGGTACTTTCACTACCACTGCAAACCTGCCCTTTGTTTGGCTCTTCATCCTCCTTCGGACAGTATTCATTATCATCAGGAAGATTAGCCAATACGCTTTCTAATTTTTTCTGAATAATTTTCAGAGCTCCATGGATATCCACTGGCTTCCATGTACAATTGACAAGCATTTCAGCCCAATCAGCATCAACTTCTTCTGGCATAATTCGTTTCAACTTCGATGAGATGCCTCCCTCGTGCTCCTGCTCAATATGCTCAATTCGCAATTCTGAGTCTTTAAACGTCTCACCACAAAAGAAACAAGACGAGAACTTCCAAGTCTTGTTCTTCTGAGCAAAGCCTATAGCTTCCGAGAAAGCCTTTGTCGCTAAACCATCCTTGAATGAACTAAAATGGTCTCTCAAATCACGAATTCTGAGTTCAAGCAATCCCCGCTTTTTCTCGACACTCATAGAGTTCCAATATGATTTAAACTCATCCATTCTTTTCAATGATGGCATCATCTTCATCAGGGAAGCGTACTTCCTTCGGTCATCATGTTTGGTATTCTCCGAATTCAGATCAAGTCCCGTTTGCATGGATTCTAAATTTTGCTGCATAAGTTTCGCTGTAGCCACTTGAACCTCGATTTCCCTTCTCCGCTCCTCAACCGTTTTCACTACCTTTTGAATTACATTTGGCCTCCTGGTTTCAAGATTCTCTGTCAAAGTCGAAGATGAAGAAGCAATCCTACATTTCTGTACAAGAATCTGCAATGAATCCCTCGTATTCGCAATTCGCTCTTCAACGGTGGATACATTTAATTGGCTCGCTGCTACAACCATTTCTCTGCCAGGGTCGATCGGATTCTCAATCGACAACGCTCGCTCACACTCTCTCGCTGCTTCTTCGTAGCTATTGTCATCACAGGACAGTCGGTAGAGTAAATTCGCGTAAAAAGTAGCGTATTCTAACGAGTTTGGCGATAAAGAAACCGCTCGACGAGCCGAATCCACAGCGTTTTGCAAGTGGCGTAGCTTGGTGACATTGTCATCGATTAGAGAAGCTAGTTGACAATGTGCATAGCCTTCAACGCGGTGAACGAAAGGAGAGTCCTCGTGGCGAAGACACAGGTCTTTCAAGATCCGTAGGGCTTTGGCGTGGTTTCCACGCTCGATAGCATTGATGGCGCGCACGCATTCAAGTTTGATTGGGGCGTTTGCGGGAGAGTGTGGATCAATCTTGCTCTGTTCTTGAGAGAGATCGTCGCTGAGATTGACACTTGATGATGCTCCGCCGTCCACGGCGGCTCTATCCTCCGTCGGTGGTGGTTTCGAGTGCGGAGGAAGGTTTCGCTTCTTACGCCCCATTGGGAGATTCAAACTGAACTGAAAATAATTGAATACGATAATTCGATTATGTGATTGATTAGCATCGGATGTTTGTTCTTGATTATCAGCTTTCAAGATCAGATATATATATATATATATAGGATTTTTGTAAGTCAGTTATCTGTGGTGCCACGGAGGCAGGACCTTGGAGGGAAAAACATAAATTTAAAAAGGAAAATAGCAATTTAGTGAAAAAATAGTGAATTTTTTTTTATTATAAATAATTAAAATTCTAAATATTATCATATGTTTGTAAATATTTTTTCAAAAACTCACTGAGCTGTTATTCTCCCAATTTAAAAAAGAGTACATAAATTTATTTTCCGAAAACTACTTCAAAATATTCGCATATGCGTATTTTTTGGATTTTTTAATCAATTTTTTTTTTTTTTTCAAACGAGAATGGAGGGAAATAAAAAAAAAAAGGAAAAAGAGTGAGGGTTATGTCTGTATAATCATTTTATTTTACAATTCGTATTAACTTTTTTAGTGGGTCGAAAATAATAATGTTATTCACCCATTTTGTATAAAATCGTAATTTACATATTTGCGTAAGTATTTATTTTGCTTCCCTGAGTTTGGGTCAAGGGAACACTTGTAAGTTTTTGTTTTTTTTTTTCAACGTTGAGTTAAAAATTTTATTAAATTTGAGTAAAAATTTAAATTTGATACCATTAACTCTAATGTTAAAATTATAATTTTTATCAAATTTTTTCGCATCTTGGTTGTCGTGGATGTCCTCGAGGTCGTTCGGACATGAAAAGAAAAATGTGGACATTTGGGTGAATATTAGGGAAGATATTCAGACCAATAGTAACAATTTAAATTTGATTAAAGTTTTGATTTTTCCTCTATTTCATATGAATCTGGTGAAAGGCTTGGCCCCAAAATGAGACGCTTTTCATCAAATTCAAATTTAATGAAACATCTAACATGGGATTGGAAATGTTCTTATATATTTGTTATTAATACACGATTAAAATTATTTTTTTACAAACAATTTTGTCGTATATTATTTTTTATTTTTTTGTAAATTATCAGGAAAATTCTATTATATACACCCTCATATCATATAGATTCTTAGTTACGTCATTTTCTTATGTAGTTATAACCAAATTTATTTATTTTTTAATTATGGCATTATTTTGAGATATTTAGTTATGATTTTTTTTTTATGTGTTTGATTATGACTTTTTTTTTTATAGTTATGATTAAAAAATTATGAAATTATATTATTTTATTCTATAATTATAAAGTGCATATAGTATACACGCTTTTAAGGAGTGTGTAACATAATCTATTCTAAATTACAATTACCTCTCCTATATTTTAAAAATATATATAGTTAACTCCACAAGTTTTATATAACTACACAAACCTCATTTTTAATAAGATAAAAGTGACCAAAATTAATAAATAAAATTAAGTATATATTTTAGTGTAAAGATATAATAATTGATATAAAATTATTTAAATGATAATTTCGTGTCCTTGTGACAAAGTGTAGAAAGATCAAGAATTCGATTTGATGGAACAGTAGCAGTCTTTAAGTGGGTCACTATGGCTTGTTTTAGGAAGTTGGCTTTTAGTTATTTTTTTTGGTTTGTAGTAAAAGTTAAAAGTTGACTTTTTGAATTTTTTTTCATTTGGGAAGTTAGTTTTTAGCCAATGGTGAAATTACAATTCTATCTTTCATGGGTCAAAATGTATTACATGGATGAAATTGTAAATATTTTAAACTAAATAGAGGTAGTTTAGTCATTTTATTATGATTTGACATCATAAACAAATATTAATCAAAAAAGTCAAATGTAACTTTTTATCAACTTCCCAAATCATTTATTTAAAAAAGCCAAAAACTTAGTTAAAAGTCAAAAAAATTACTCTTTACTATATTTTCAAAGGGCATGGCTTCTGTTCCGTCCTTAATCGGACTGGACCATGCTGTTGGGCTCGTGGAGGCCCACCACGGGTCCCGTTTTGATAATCTAAATCGTTCAATGTCTAGAACTCGTTGATTACTATATGCTTATAAAAAATCAAGTTAATCGAATATCGATAGGTAGGTGATCAAATCAGTTTTGTATAAAAAAAAAAAAATGGACGGTGAATAAATTAACGGTTGACAAAAATCTATTTTGATCACATAGCTATCGATATCCGATCAATGTGATTTTTAATAAATATATAGTATTCGACGAATTCTACACATTCAACGGTTCAGATTATCAAAACGGGACCCGTGGTAGGCCTCCACGGGCCCAACAACACGGTGCAGTCCGATTAAGGACTGGACAGAAGCCATTCCCATTTTGAAAATAGGCATATGTCAGGGATTCGCTCAGATTAGGTGCAATGGTTTTAACAAATTTAACTACCTAAAATATTGACCTTTTGTTTTGTTTTGTTTTGTTTTTTTTTTGTTTGTGTATTAGGGTTTGAGTCGACTTAATGGGGCCATTTCCCCAAATCAGCCAAATTATCAATTCAATTCCCAAACTAGGCCTAGTTTTGAAAGATTTTCCAAAATAGGCTAAAACGTGGTTCACAACCACGCTTTCACGTCTGTGCGCCTGTCCCGCGTGAGGATTGGGAAGTCTTAAAAGCGTGGTTACAAAACGCGCTTTTAATTAAGAAAGTGCGGTTACAAAAGGCACTTTTAATTAATTTTTTTTTCATTTGAAATTGCTGTTCTGAACCACGCTTTTAACTTACATTTTTTTTGTTCTGAAAGCGTGGTTGTGAACCACGCTTTTAACCAAAAAAATTTTCTTCTGAAATTGTGTTTACGAACCACGCTTTTAGCTTAAATTTTTTTCTTCTGAAAACGTGGTTATGAACCATGCTTTTTGGAAAAAACTTTTTTGTTCTGAAAATGTGTTTGTGAACCACGCTTTTTATACAATTTTTTTTCTTTAAGTGAAAGCGTGGTTTGTAACCACGCTTTTAAAACTTATATAAAATCTCCCCAGCCCCGTCTTTTGCAATCACGCTTGTTACACCTTTCACTCTCGCTGCCTGCTCTCTCTCTCGCTCCCTGCTCTCTCTCTCTCGCTCTTACTACTCTCTCTCTCTCTCTCTCTCGCTCTTACTGCTCTCTCTCTGTCGCTGTGTTCGAGCTCCCTCTGCTTTAGTACTGTCGCTCTCTGTGCTCTCTCTCGTTGGTATGGCTTCTGCCTCTCTCTGTTGATCTACTTTAATGCATTTTTTGTGTTTGTGAAAATGTGAATGTGGGTATAATGTTGGTAGAATAGGGTTCATGAATGTGGGTATAATGTTGGTAGAATAGGATTGATGAATGTGAAAATACTGTGAAATCATAAATAATAAATTAGGGTTAGGGTTTATAATTGTGAAATCAGAAATTACGATTACGGATTGAGAAATTAGGGTTTTGAATTGTGAAATCTATTTAAAAATTTGTGAAATCTGTTTAGAAATGTGAAATTTGTTTATAATTGTGAAATCTGTTGAATGTGAAATCAGATTTCTATTGAATGTGAAATCAAATTTATGTTCAATGTGACATCTGTTAAATGTGAAATTTGTTGAATGTTGAATCTGTTTAGAAAAATTTAAATATTATGTTTGAAATGAGAAAATGAGAGTTATGGTTTTCTATTGAATGTGAAATCAGAAATGAGGGTTTTGGTTTTGAATTAGGGTTTTGAATTGATGAATGTGAAATCATTTTTCAATTAGAGTTAGGGTTTTAAATTGTGAAATCAGAAATGAGGGTTATGGTTTCAGAAATTAGGGTTTAACAAATTTATGATAAGTTAAATTTTTTTAATAATGTTATATGATTTTTTTTAGGAACAAATAATTTTTAGGAACAAATAATTATCTATAATAATAATAATTTTTTTGTATATTATTATCGTAACTAACTTTATAATTTCTTGGAAAAAAACATGGCAAAACACAAGAAAATCTAATTTTGTCTATATAAAAATTATCTATAATTAAAATTTCAAAATTTTCTATCCCTTTCATTCAAAATTTCCAATTTTTTTTTTCTTTCACTTTCACTTTCCACAAATTTTTCTTTTTAATCAAAACATAATTAAGGGATAATTATGCCATTCCCTTTTATTTTCATTCCAATAAATTAAGCACAGCCTAACAATATTTACGATATATTAAAAAAAATAAAAATAGAATCATATAATATATATCAGTGTCATACAAAATTGAATTACAAGGAACATGTTTAAAGTTGTCATGGTTAGTCTAGTACTAATTATCCCGAGTCTATAGATCCAACTGATCATTATATAATTTTTTCTTTCTCTATTATGGAAAATATAAGGGGGATGTTTGGCATAAAAGAAAAGCAAGTTCAGCCAAAAAAAAATGAGGAGAAAATTTAAGGGAAAATGAGAGAAAATTTTCAGTTGTGAGAGAGTGGCCGTGTCCTTCACCGGGAATAGTCTGAGTGAAACCCAAAATGGTCGTCGACGACGTTCTTCTGATTGGGAATTACAAATATATTTTATAGGGTTTTCAATTGTAAAATCAGAAATTAGGGTTATGGTTTCAGGAATTTGGGTTTTGAATTGTGAATCCTGTATATATTTATTGCATTGTGAACTGTGAATCCTATCTATTTTTTTACAAATTAGGTTTTTGAATTTTGAATTGTAAATCCTGCCTATATTTTTTGAATTGAAAATTTAATTTCTGATTGCTTCTTAGTACTGTCGATATGGTTAAATCTTATTATTCTTTCGCTTATATCTTCAACTTCATCATTATGCCACTATAACTTGTACAAACAATTTTTTGGGTTGTTTTAGGAAATAAGTTAAAAGCTAATTTTTTGTATTTTTTTAATTTTTTTTTTTGGAAAAACGTGTAAAAAAAATACTGAAAATGCCTTTTTACCTCTTTGCCAAAAAATTACCAAAACATTAGAAGTCAAAAAATTTGATATAAATAAATGACTTTTTACAAAAAAATTGATATAAACATTAGAGGTCAAAACATTTGATCCACAAAAAAATTGATATAAACATTAGAGGTGATCCACAAAAAGTTAGAAGTCAAAAAATGAC